TAATGTTGTTGTATTGATTGTTCGAAGATATGTTGGGGGCTTTCTTCATCGAGAGGCGTCAATGTTGTCAATACCTGTGTGTGTGTGTGATCAAGACTTCATAGTTTCTGCTGATTAATCTGTCCGTGCTTGTACACAATGTTCTCATTGTCCCGTTGAGCTGGGTTTCGTGTCCATGGGTTTCATCTACCATGCAGTGTACATCCTCGTGCAGTTCGCCTTTATGAGCCTAGCCGCTTATACCCACAGCTTCGCCCTTCACTAAGTATTTGGTGTCTTTCCGATTTGGTAGTTTTCACAACGCTTTATGAGGGGATCTCTCTGCTTATCCTTTCTTCCCTCTGTTCCTGTCCTCCCCTCACTTATTCCACTCTGTCCCCTCCCTTCCTTCCTTCCTCTCCCTCCTCCCCTCATCCGGACCATCCCTCCTGTCCTTCCACTCTCTGTACTTGCTCCTCTCCCTCCTCTCCCTTCTCTTCCTCCTGTCCCTCCCCTCCTTCCCTTCCCTCCGTTCTTGTCCGTCCTCCCCTCCCTCCCCTGCTTCCCCTTCATCGGTGCTCAAGCGGTGCTCTGTGTTCTGAGTAACAGGCTGGACCAGTATTTGGCCCTGTCCTGGTGTGTATGGTGCTTGATCATGGAGTACCTGGATTGATGGTGGGGCATTTTTGGAACTCGATGAGAGGGTGTAACTCAAGAGTGCATTCTGGACCTTGCTCAGTTGCAGAATGGCAGAGGCTCATGGTGTGGTATTATGGACGTTGTGGGGTTTCACAATGTGGAATGCGGCAGTCCGAAATTTGCTGACTCATTGAGAAGCTGGCGTGTCCAGGCCCTTGGTGAAGGAGAGGGATTTGCTGGGAATTTCTCGGAACGAACTGTTCCTTTATGGAACTGGAAGGATTTGAATATATGACAAGTGGATTAACAGCTCTAGGTGTGCGCCACTCGGGCATTACGCATGTACAACCCCACTTCCCTTTCTAGTTGCTTGCGTTTCTGATAGTCCTGTCTTGCTTTGCTCCTCTCTGGCTTGGTGTAATTGCAGGAGCTGTCACAAGGAGGCCTCACCCAAGGTCAGCAGACACAGATTGCCCGCAATGAACAGAGGATTGAAGTGGTAGGTGGCACAGTGCCATCACGTCTATGCTATTGTTTACACCAGTTTTGTCCTCCTCTTTGCTTCAGGCATGCCTTAATAAAAAGTGGCAAGATTGTTCTGAATACCAAGAGTATGAGCAGATCTCCAGCTTTCAGATCATCAGTTGATGTTTACATGCACGTCTACGCTCTCAGCCTAACACTCAGGTGCCTTTTGGCCATCATTTTTCTAACTTTCCTTCTGTTTTGATGCTGCTGCAGGTCATGGAGGAATTGGAATCGTTGGAAGAAACTCTAAATGAGAGCATCCAAGAAAGCGTTGGGGCAAGGTCGAGGAAGGGAAGAGAGGGAGCTGAAGGTTGGAAGAAGAGAGATGGAAGTGATGAAGAAGCAGAGGACAGGTAAGCAGGGATTGGGAGATGTCAAGGTGATGACCGCCGTCGCGGTTCAACAACAAGTACATCATCTGGAATCTTGGCTTTTCTTCATGGCTAGGGAAAAGTCACCAATTTGGGCCCGACTAGTTTAGGTGAGCACCTTGATTGTAGCAATGGAGATGTGGATTGAGAGGGAACTTTTCTGTCGCACACAGCGCGGGGCAGGGCTGCAGGGGGCAAAAGAACCGTGGGCATGAAATAAGTGCTGGAGTAAGCAGTGGGTATTCTGTTGCTCGGCACTTAAATGGGACTGTGGCCATTGTGCAAAATCACGCAAAGTAGCTCCCGTATTTGAGCGTCCAAGGTTGTTTCTGTGACCATTCACACGTGGCCGAACGATGTTGGTTATGGCTGCAGCCGCTGCACAACTGGAAGTGGCTGTCCCTCCCCTTGGCAGGGGTGGCTGGTTATTCAAGGTTATGTTTTAGTGTCTTATTGTTTTAAGACTGTTTAACTTAAGGAAGGATGGCGAATCAGAATGGCCGTTGAGAATAGCCACACGAGTAGGTTAAATGATGCTTGATTGGAAAGCCATACCCAGAAGATTATGCCATTCAAAAGTTCAAATGGAAAAGGGACATGGTTGGTTGTTGGGATTTCTTTCATCTCTGATATTTGTGGACAGGCGGCCAGTGCATCAGAGACTCCTGCAGCTTAATGTTGCCGGATTATGACACCTAGAGACGTCTGCCTATCTCAGTAGTTGTTACACGGTGCCTTACGGACACAATGAACACTGATGTAAATCAAAGTTGCGTGGGAGTGGTGGTCATGTTGTCTCCTGCTAAGTCCTCCTCAGTTCTTTAGACAGACACTGCAGGTACACTGGTAATCCGACCGGAGTCCTGTGCGTGTGTGTATGTGTGTGTAATAATGTATGTGTGTGCATGTGTATAGATGGCAGTATGTGCCTCAGTTTTTGTGTACTTAGTTTCCTGAGTTTTCCTTAGCTCGCTCTCCCGTCTATTGTGATCGCACAGTCTACTCTGTCTCCCTTTCGTGCCTCCCTGCTGCAATCCAGCTTAGCTGTCCCAAAGATCTTGCTTTCTTGTTACGTTCCGCGCTCTTTTCGTCCATGTGCCCTGGTCGTTAGACTTGCCAGGGAGGAGGGGGCTTTCTGTCTGTCAACAAGGTGAGTCCTTTGCCCATCAATACCGTTGTATGACTTGTACTCCATAGCTTCTCTGCCCGTGCGGGCCTTGGGAAGGCTGAATTGCGGCATCCAGTCGCTTGTAGTCTGCGTGGAGACGGTCTGTTGTCAGAATGTTGCTCCTGTGTTTGCGGCCGTATTCCTGTTGGTTAAGCATTTGGAGTGAGTTCAATTTTGACAGACAAAGGGTCTCATAGCGTTTGACATGTATCGAAGGGGCCCAAATACCGGATAGGGAAGCTTGTCGTCACACCATGGGTCATATAGTGGAGGAGAAGACCGTTTGGACCCGTTGTATAGCGAGGGGTACGTGCGTGCAACTGCAAACAAATGCAGGTGTACGCCAGCCAACTGTCCGAGGTTAGCGAGACCTTCTCTTCCTTTTTGTTTGTTCCCTTCTTTCCATTGGAACAGCATTAGCGTCTAATGTTTTTTCAACAATAAGTGCTGATCAGGATTGATTTTATGTCGTGTTTATCAAAAGGTATACTACCGACCTGTTGATCAACAGGTATATGGGTGTACCATCCAGCTACAAGGCTGGGTGTAATCTTTTCTTCCTGTTTGGTTACTTCCCCTCTTTTCTGATCTGTGGGGGGTTGGGTGGGTGTTGATGGAAACAGCGACAGTGATGAATTCTACGATCGAGCTGGGGCATCGAGAAAGAAGGTGATGATCAGCAGGAAAGGAGCGCCACAGACTCCGATAGTGGAGACGGCAGAGACACTTCTACAGAAGAAATATGATCTGGAGAGGAAAAAGGAAGAACTGCAGCGCTCACTGAAAGCTGAAGAGGAGGCAAAGAATCGAGGACAAACAGGCAAAGCAAGCGACAAAGATAGCGACGACGGTGCCAAACGTAAAGATGGTGGCAGTCAGCAAATGAACCCCGAGAAGGCGGACTCAGATGACCCTCTTGACCAGTTCATGAGCAATGTGTCTACTCAGATCGGTAGGTCCTAAATGACCTTCTGGAACACTAAGAAACTGTGTGTACGCACACACACACACACACACACACACGCAGTGGAATGGCTGGTGATGATGTTTTCTTACCCAAACGTAGCCTGGCTGGAATTCGATTGCAGCTTGGCGGGTCCTGGTCCTGGTGTGTTCCTGCTCTTGTTTCAGTTGTTTGTTTTATCCTTTCAATTTGGCAGTCCTGCTCCTTATGCAGCTGCTTACCCTTCTCCTCTGCATACCCTTGCATTCTTGATTCCCTGCCTCCCTGCCTTGCCCGCCTCATCCTCTCTGCCTCTCTGCCGACCATGTTTGTGGCGGCCGACCTTGCTCATCTTGCGGCACTTCCTTCCGTCCTGCCCTGCCATCTTCCTATTTGTAATCCTTTCTTGTCTTTGTCTGCTCCTATTCTGCTTCCTTGTCTGGTGGCCATCGACCTGGTGTGTTGTTTGTGTACATGGGTACTCACAGCCTTCTACAGAGGTATCCTTCTCCTCCAGGAAAGAAACTTGCTATTCTGACCTCCACAATCACTTGGCATTTACCAGGCACTAAAAGCTTAAGGTAATGCAGTCAGTCTTTTCCTGGTATGATTCAGAAGTCGTCATTTGCCCGAAGTCGTACATGCAAACGTATAGTGGCTATGAGATCCTGCTCTCCTGTGCTACCCCTTTCTCTGTCTCTCTTACACTTTCAGAAATCCCTTCTGACATCTTGCGGTTCGCAAACAAAGTTTGGACCTTTTGCCCACCGTTACAGGGAAGCAGCAGTGGCAGCTGCAGGAACGTTGCCATCAGTAGCAGCGGACGGAGAGAGAGAGCAGTGATGATCAAGAGAAAATGAAGTACGGAGCCGCCAGTACCTCCAAGCCTCATTTTCCCAATGCTCTTCTTTGCCCATCTGTGGAACATCAAAACTGTCGTAGGGATCGGGCCTGGCAGTGATGGTGAATGTACCCTGCATCCATGATTCTGTTTTTCAGATTTTGTTGTTGAAGGAAGTGAGAGCGAAGGAATCGCCAAATTGGGGACCCTGAAGATGTTTTGGCCCCCTCCCCAGGACCACTGACCTCCCGCAGAGCAAACCTTTGTACCCAGTGTGTTAACAAGAGGTGCATATTTGTGTAGAGCTGGGTGGGGTATTGGTGGCCTAAGCAGCCTTTTCATGGATGTACAGAAATAAACCATAAAACTCCGAAAGGTGACTGCATTAGAATATGAAAGCAAGGTCATGTACATCTCAGAGAGAGAGAGAAATGTCTAGAAATTTATAATGACTCGTTATGCACTGAAAAAGTAAAAACAAAAGAAAAAGTAAGGCAGGCATTCAAGGTCATTGAAAAGATGGTCCATGAAGGAAACAGCAATCTTCGCGTCGACTGATTGCTAAAGTTGGGTGTGTGCATCTGTGTTGCAGAGAAGGACAGGTCTTCTGGTCTGAAGAGACAGTTGGAAGAGCTTGAGGAGTCGCTGGAAAGGGTTGTTCACCTGTTGAAAATTGCAGACCCTTCTGGAGAGGCACAGCAGAACTGGAAACCTAAATATGGTAAACATGGCACGCCCAGGCAACAGCAAACAGGAGTGAAGGTCTTATCTCATCCCTCAGACAAGCACCAGGACGCGTTGTCTAGGATGCAACACTGCTCTTCAGCCCCGTCGACGGCAAATAAACCTCAAGAAAGAGAGGAAGTGGTGAATAGGATGAAAGCTCCAGAGAGTGCGGAGAGGCCAAGAGTTCTGAGCCCAGTTGATTCTAACGAGCCCGATGTCGGATCAGAAGTCGAGAGAAGTGCAGGGGGAGAGAAAGTGAGGGAGGTCATGGGACCTCCTCCGCCTCGTCCCATCAAAGGCCCACTGTGGTTGGGCGCTACCCGGCCATCAGTGGGTGGCACCTCTTGCGAGCAAGCACCCGTTTCAGTGCACGAGGGAGAGGAGAAACGGCAAGGTAGGACATCTACAGAGGGTTCCTTCATTGGGCGAAAGGAGCTGAAGAAGCAGCGAGGGATGGAGCAGCTGGATGGGAAAGAAGAACAAGTGACAAAGAAGATGCACAGAGAGAATGCTGAGGCAGCAGCGGCTGAAGATGTGGCATTATTGCTTAAGCATTCCGGTTGTCGGCGGGAGGATGAAGAGAGGGGAGTTGATGATGATGGCAAGTGGGGGAAGAAGAGGAAAAGGGGCGCAGATAGCAGTGAAGGAGGGAAGAGGAATGGGGTTTCCTCCTCTCCGCATGGCAAAGATGATGATGATGGTGATATGGCAATGTCCGGGCGCATCGAGTGGGTACCTCCACAAGGTCAGAATATATTCGATCACTGAACTGGAATCTATGCAAGTTTTGGGGGGGAAAAAAGGTTCCGGCTCCTTCCATTCTGGGGAGCAGCTGTCCGATTCCCCCTTTTTTTTTTCTTTTTTTTTTTAATAAAACAGGGCCTTATGGTCCTGGCTCCTTCTATTCTGGGGAGCGTCAGTCCGGTTCCTCTTCCCCCGGCAAGTCAATAAGCATGTTACATTGGAAAGTACACACTTCCTTCAGTTAGGCCGAAGGACCCCTGATCAGCATTGATTGCTCCATCTTGGTGGAGGATTGACTGTCAGCTTGCCATGACCCACTCTTCCCTCTCAGACCTGGTCACCAGGCCTGCCAGATAGTGCTACTCTTCCTAGAAAGAGCTCGGTCGTTGTTCCTGTTACTTTGATTCTTCCCTGCTCAGTTTCCCTGTCCATACTTCCTACTATCTCTGTCCCAGTTCTTTATTCCCCATCCTAAAACCCTAAACCCTCAACCTATGTACCCCTCCTCCGAACTCCCTTGGAGTCGACTTTCCTCTTTAAAGTTCTGAACCAGGAGAATATTGTCCTTGCGCCGTTCTCTGCTGTCCCTCTCTTCTTCCTGAGTTTGAGTTGTGTCAGTCCTTCCAACGAATGTGGTCGTCCCTCGAGTCAGCCACCTTGCCTTCTAACAACCAGACCTTACTGAACAACCAGACCTTAGAGAATTTCCTCCGCCATCTGCAGAGATTTTTTATTTTATTTTTTTATTTTTTTATTTTTTTTTAAACACCCCATAGCTACCCCTATATCCATTTCTTTTCCTTTTTTTGTGTTTTTTTTTTTTTTTTTTTTTTTTTTAGCAGTCCCCTCCACCGCCCTACACTTAAGTTCCCCCTAACTCTACTAAGATTCTAAACCCTAAACCCTACCCCTCGCTTTGCTGTAATACTTGTGAATACTCCACCTACTTGGAGGAGTGACTGCCGGCTTGCATCGGATGTCCTCTTTCCTCTCGGTCCGGACATCCCTGTCTGTCAGCCCACACCGTTGCCCTAAGAACCCCCCCACTGTCCTTGTCCCCTCATCTCTGCCAATCCGTCTTTCCTTTCCTTTACCTGAACAGCCCTGTTTTCAAGGGACCCCCGAACCCTAACCATTGATACAGTCTGCCGATTGAACTTAGCCATGTGCCTTTGAATCCTCCGGCTGGGGTTACCACCTCTGGCCTTGACCCTTGTTACTACCCCCCTCTGGCCGTCGGGTTGTGATGATCTTCCGGGTATACCCCAACACCCCGCCAAACTGCATCCTTGATGTTTGCCCGTCGGGTCCTGTGGGAGCCCCGCCTGACCTTCCTCCCCCGATCTTTGTCCCAGTTCCTCTTGTTTACCCCCCCTCACTGGGTCTTACTGGCTTGTCGATATTTCCTTCTCTTTCCCTTTATCCTACCCCTCTCTTGTTCCCTGGTTTCATCCTCCCTCTTCTCTCCATGTAAAGCGAAGTTGTGTGCCTCTGACCTCTGCTACTGCCCCTTGACCCAAAGTGTTGTGATTAAACTTTTTAATTATCTCCTCCTCTTGCCCTGGTCTTTGCCGTGCCTGCTGTCTCACCCTTTTCCACTGCGCATTGAGATGTGTTTCCATTGCCTTGAGGAGCAGCTCCCTGGCTTCCTCTCTATGCATTAGCGTTCCTTCCATAGTAGCCTGACATCTCCTCTTCCAAATGATCCACAGCCCATATTGCCTCAGCAGCTGAAAGATATGTCTCTGATAGGGTTGCATCTGTTTGGGTACCCCAGCCCCCAAGAGCCTAGCAATTCTTGATTCTGGGAAAGCGATTTTTGCCACCTGTTTCCAGATTCCCCTGACTTGTTCCCACATCCCTTCCGCCTCCTTGCACTCCAGTAGATAATGTACCAATGTTTCTGGAATCCCTTCTTGGCACACTCTGCATAGTTCAGCTTCCTCGCTTCTCTGATTGTGACTTCTTCTTTTGTTGAGCCACACATTCACTGGCAGTGCCACGTGGGCTATTAGCCATTGCATACTCCTCACCTGTCCCAGTCTTATAGATAAAATACTTGACCACGGTATGTCTGGCATTTGGCTTCTGGGGACCCCCAGCCTTTTCTCCCAGCGTTTGAGCAGAGTAAGTCCCGTAGACAGGGATCTGTTCCTCAATCTGTACCCTGTTTTTGTGGTATAGTGGAGGATATTAATTCTCCTTGCTACTCTTGATTGTCCCCCCCTAATGTTCCAGGCCCATTCTCCGGGATCCACCTCTAGCTCCTCGATTGGTACTGTTGAATTGTACACTGTGAACTCCTCCATCTCTATCACTCTTACCTTCCGCAACCCTTGTTTGAGAATGTACAGTGGCGCTTTTGATGTCCTGTCCAATTGGGACGTGGTGTTGCACGGCTGTATTATGTCGTATTTGTCCGCTGCTGCCTCATCTTCCCATGTAGCTGCTGCCTCATCTTCCCATGTAGCCCAATCTCCCTCCCTCCATTGCTTTCCCCCCCTCAACAACTGCACCCAGGTTGGATGTATGGAGCCTGTGACTACACTCAGATTGTCCTGAAGGTTGTGACACCCCTTCAATATCCTCCTCAGCTCCTCTGTTGTTTTCCATCGGTTGCTTTCCTCGTCCCAAATGTGTTTGATCTGCCATACCCCGTGTTCCAACCATCTACCCCATCTTGAGTCCTTGCTTGTTAATGTTAGAGGCTTTCCAGCATTGTCCTTAATGCTTGTGTTGCAGAATAACGGTTGTCTTAATACCTCCTCTCTTGTAGTAGGCTCTCTTACCTGAGCTGGGAAGACTTCCTTCCACAATTTGTCTTAGTTGTAGCCAATAAGCCGGATTTCTAGCTCTCCCTCCTTGTATTCCTTTATTCTCCTCCCTGTGGCCCATTTTAGCCCAGTTACTACACATAATCCAGAACAGCCCCGTCATGTTGCTCGAAGTTTTGTACCTGGCTATCTGTCTAATCCTTTCCAGTACTAATGACGTCCATGATAACCTGGGCTGTGAGATTAGGTTGACCACCCATTTTGTTTGAAGCGCTTTCAACTGCTGGGTTGGGTCGAGAATACCTAAGCCCCCTTGCCCTTTGGGTCTGGTTACTGTTTTCCATGCCACCTTGGCTATGAAATGGTCCGTGTTGTGCTTCGCCGTCCATAAGAAGGCTGCTGCCTTTCTCCTAAGCTGGGCCGACGCGGCCTTGGGCGGGGTCCAGATAGACCCCGCATACCACATCATGGAGAAAATTGATGCATTCAAAATCAGTGCTCTTCCATATATTGAGGTGTACACTGCCGACCAAGCACCGAACTTTGCTAACGCCTTGGCCATAATGTCCGCCGCCATTGAATGGTGAGTCCCCTCTTCTGTTATTTTGATCCCTAGGTACCGGAGTGGTTGCTGTGGCGTCATCCACTGAAGCCCTTCCGGGCTTGTGACCGGGATCTGATTTTCTCGATTCAGCTCTGCTAGCCACCACCCCACTGTTTTGCGCCAATTGACTTTCATTTCCGACGCCAGTTGGAAAGCTTCCATTGCCCTTGTTAGCACTTGAAAGGAAGAGTCTGTTGCTCTGATCAAGGCTGTCAAGTCGTCTGCGAACAAGAGCGTCGTGGGGAGCTCAACCCTGTGTCCTTGCTGGTCAGGCGGTGCTATTAGTCTCTCTATTGACGGGTCCTGTCTTAGAAAAGAGGCTATTGCCTCCATTATAAAGAGAAAGATAGGAGCTGCTAAGGGGTCCCCCTGCCCAACCGATCTTGACATCGGGTAGGTCGAAGATAAGTGACCATTAACCTGCACTTGTCCCCTCGCATTGTTATAGAAAACTCTTATCCATTTCGGCCCTACCCCCATTCTTTCCATGCACAGTTGCAAGAAGGACCAACTGACCTGGTCATATGCCTTTTCGAAATCAAAAAAAAGGATGGCAGCGTTGATTCTCTTGTCTTTTATATACCGGACAGATTCTGTTAGACACATGACATTGTCTAGTATAAACCTACCCGGAATGAATCCTGTTTGATCCAGATGGAAGCAACCCGCCGTGATCTTTGATAAGCGATTAGCTAGTGCTTTGGCTATTATCTTGTGTGTGAGGGTCAATAAGGTTATTGGCCTGTAATTTCGTATGTCCACTGGACTCCCCTTCTTGTAAAGCAGCGTGACTATCCCAGTTGCGGCCTCACTTCCTATACCCTCATCCTGCCATGCCTGTTCTAGAAAGGCCAGGTATTCTTCGCCCAAAATTGGCCAGAATTCTAGCCAGAATTCTCTGGTCAGACCGTCCTTTCCGGGGGTTTTGTGCGGAGCCATTGTTTTTAGTGCATCCCATAACTCTTCCTGTGTTAAAGGTTCGTCCAGCATGGCCGCATGCTTTCGTGATATTGTGTTCTGCAGATAATTCAGAAACTTGATCGCCCCTCCTCTACCCTTATCCTCGGGAGCTGGTCTTCGTTTGATGTGTAAAGTTTACTGTAGAAATCGAAGGCTACCCTTAACATCCCTTCTTTGTCTGAGGTAAGCCCCCCTTCCCCTTCTAATTGCTCTATAAGGTTATTCCTGCCCTAGACTTTATTTTTTGGAAGAAGAATTTGGTCATTCTCTCTCCCTCCTCCCATTCCTTGATTCTAGCTCTCATTTGTAAGCCTTTCATTCTCCACCGTTGCCAATCTGCCGATTCCTATTACACTGGCAAGTCAAAATATTTATTTTGCCATATTTTTTGTGTTTCTTTTAACTTTTTTCCTTTTTTGATTGCATTGTCTGACCGTGGACTGGCTTCTTTTCTCATGGTAATAATGTGCACCTTTGGAGGGGAGGGGGGAAAGAAGTGCACCTTACTTTGCCAATAGGTAAGGAACTCTGCAGTTTAGAAAAAGTTGGGGTGCCTGTTGCTCTTTTCCTTGGAAGCCGGAAATAACTCGATAATGTTCGAAAATGCTTTGCTTGTGGCGTCTGCTGTGTTCTGGTTCTGTGCTTTGGTTTTGTGACGATGCTTGCTTGCTCGCATTTGCCGTTCGTTTCTTCCCCCCCCCCCCCCCCCTAGCATATTCCACCCTCATCTGGGTGTGCAGATTCATTTTGAGATCTGGATTCTGATTTCCCCTCGCACATGGCCTCCTCCTCCTTGTTCTGTGAATTGGTCCTACAGGTCAGACAGGGGACGGGCGTACAAGTCTTAATGACAAACTCGGCTACTGAGCTCGACTTCAGCAGGGAGGTCAGTGTTCTTGTTTGCCGTGTGGTTATATGGTCAAGCGACGAAGTGAGAGTATGTGAACTTCTTCCCTGTCCTTTTTGTCTTGTTGGCAGTGGGCAGCACGCCTGGACGAGGAGGATGAAAGCATTTTGCAAGATTGTCGCGTCCAGTCGAGAAGAACTCTACTGCATGAGTGGATGCTGCCCTGTAACTGAGGATTCTGGCGTGTGTTGTCTGGCGTCCCGGTGCTTACATATCGTGGACGCCAGACAGACTGCCAAGTATGATAGACGCCAAACAGACAATCCCTGGGTATGTTGTCTTGCTTTTCACCACAGACCAGCGTATAGAGAAAATAGCCACACCGCACCTGCCACTCTTTCACAAGCTTACAGCAATGCATAGCTTGTTCTGCACCTGTACGACTTCCTCGGCAACACCTCGTGCTCGCCTTCGGAGTTCGTTACAAAGTGTTTCGTCGTTGCAACACTTTTTCCGTAAAGTTGTCTCAAATTCGCGTCATAGAGAAGAAATACTTATGTGACGCATGTGGTTGTGATCACCAGCTGTGGTCAGCAGTCCCTGAGGTCAAGTTCGAGGATGTCATCTGAAGTTGAGATTGGCGACAGACTCTGCGGACACGATAGATGAGAATGAGCGCAATCGAGCTCAACAATAGTCTCTGCGGTCAAAGATCGACACCTGCCGCTGCTGTCAAGATCGTCACCGGTCTGTGTGGCCAAGCTCGATGGCCTATCTCTGCTGTCAAGATCGATAAGATAGTGTCTGCAGTCAGGATCAACGCTAGCTTCGCGACCAAGATCGACATCAGTTTCTGCGACCTAGATTGAACACAATCTCGACAGCTGAGATCGATAATAGTCTCTGTGGTGACTGCAGATCGATGCTAGCCTTGCGACCAAGATCGACATCTGTTTCTGCGACCTAGATTGATGATGACAATCTCTACAGCCGAGATCGATGATAGTCTCTGCGGTCAAGATCGATGCCATCCTCTGTGGTCAAGATCAACGACAGTTTCTGCGCCCAAGGTCAATGAAAACCTCTACAGTCATAATCGACGATAGTCTCTGTGGTCGGCATCGATGCCGGTTTCTGCAGGTGAGCGCAATGGCCTCTCTACAGTCAACAGCGACGATTGTCTCTGTGGTCAGCATCGACGCTGTTTTTTTTGCAGGTGAGCGCAACGACCTCTTCTGTTGCTTGGAACAGTAATTTCTGTGCTGTTGAGGTTGTTTAGCATGTTAGTGGCTTGTAATAATTGGGTTGTACTTTGACTTGCTTTTCGGATATTCTGCAAGATATATGATGAGAGCACATATTCCTTGTAGTATATTCTGGAGGTTCAGTGAAGGTTTTTCTTTTCCTCGGATCGGTTGCACGCCAGTAAATTGTACTTCGGTGGTTTAGTGAGGGTTCCTGTTTTCATCGTGTTCCAGCATGCTCGATGTTCATTCCAAACACGTTATCCTGACAAGCACAGCAAACCCGGCTCCACGGACGGAGTATCGTCTAGTTTGTATCAGGATCTCACAGTCTGCGCCAGCATCTATCTCACGGCTGGCAACGAGTTTACCACTGTCATCACGAACAAGATGGAATGCAAGTGGCCGTCAGGATGTCTCTGGTCCAGTGCTCAGGATCATTGCTTCTGCCTTTCGCATCCTGGCCTGCCTTGTTTCATGAAGCATGTTATGTCAGAGGTCTTCAACATTTCACTTCTTTGCAACACCACTCAGAGAGGGAGGGAGGGAGGGAGGGAGGGGGAGTGAAGGACAGGGAAGTGAATGTGGGGAGCACCACAGGAGAAGTGAAAGAGAAAGTGACGCGGGAGGAAGAGACACGACAGGGGAGGAGGAATGCAATGGCACAGCAAATCACTCATCTAAGTTGGAACTAATGGTAATCGTGTGAACTAGGTGACAATGGGTCGGCTGGGCCAACGACACCTCTTCACTGCAGATTGCCATCAATATCAACAGGTCACAGCTTCAACTTTCTGAAGCCAAATGGGGCATTCTATGCAGCTGGCAACGCAAATCTCTCTCTCTCTCTCTCTCTCTCTCTCTCTCTCTCTCTCTCTCTCTCTCTCTCTCTCTCTCTCTCTCTCTCTCTCTCTCTC